ACCGTCCGTTAGCGTACCGTCCATTTGACTGGACCGACGGTAATAAGGCTGGACGATTCCGCACGCTGGAAACAGGGATTGGAGAGCGCTCGTCTGGACAGCATAAAGAGAGAGTGGAGTTTTCTGTTTGCTCTTACATCATGCCGTGCTGAAAGGCCATCTTTTTATCTTGCTTAGAGAATGTTTGCTTTCGAAGGGAGCGGAGTCTTGTCTATTCCAGTGCTTTGGCCCTGCAACCCTTTTGAAAAACACAGATCGGAGGAGTGTCAAAGTACGTGAAGCTGCAAGATATAATTACTGCGACGAACCCCATCTTCTTCAGACTTTCCAAGCGTTCTACCGATAATATGCATGCATGGTTGTAAAAGTATTTGGCAGCCACAGGCGCGATGCGGCGGAACAGCTGCGAGCCGGCGACCTCTCTTCTAACGCAGACGGCGGTCAATGCGTCCTCTTCACTCGTATCCGCTGCCTGTTTCTGGATTTCCGAAGATCGTCGTGCCTTGATTTTCCCAAGCCATCGCTCTATTCAAGTCCATCCCTCGTCGGCCCACTGCACGATCCAGCTTCAACTCCCGATCACGGCTTGAGTACGCGCAGCTGCCCGCCGTCCTCCAAGCTCCAAGGCAAAAAAAAAAAGCTCAAAGCTTGCTATACGATCGGCTCAAACGTACCATCGCAAATTGCGGTCCTCAGGTATGTATGCTTCATCTTCCTACATTTAGGCGCTAATAGACACACAGCTCACCTACAACGCCAAAGCCCAGCGCCTCACGCTTTCGGCTTCAAAAGCTCCAACAGAACCACACGTACCAAGAACAACGTCGCACGCTCCGACCATGCCGCTGTCGCTCTTCGAGGTCCTCCTCATCTCGCTTGGCCAAATGATGGTCATCCTCCACAACAACGAGCTGCCGCCCCACATCATTGCTGAATGCTTCATCCTGACCGTCCTCTACGTCATCCTCACAGACATCTTGGTTATCTCCGCCTCCTGGTACTTCTTGTTGGGCGTTGGCCTTGTTCTTGTCTTCGTTATGGTCAGCCGTGAACACTTTCTTAGAGGACAGTTGTGATGTGAGCTGACAGGGTGCAGGACGGAAATCTGCCTCTGAGGGGCTGCCGTGCCTCATAACCACGGAGGCCACCTTGCCTCGGGCTGGCAAGATACTTCACCGGCTACGACTCGATGAACCGTTCTGCATGGTTCCGATTACACCTGCGAGATATTTCCATAGCATCAGCAGCTTTGCATGAATGGAATGTTACTTTCTCACAACCTCATAGCATCTTTTACATCAAGACGTGCAGCAGATCATACCCCGCATCAGGAACTGCCTCCGCCATCCTATTTCCTTAATTCACAAGCTCCTCGAAACCAACTTTACATACACGAAATCTGGCATTCCACAACCGACTGCAACCGACCTACGAGAAAGCTTCCAGGGTTAGTAGGAGGATAAAAAAGGAGCTTCGGCATCATGGTGACAATCATCGCCGAAACAGCTCCTTCTCTCAATAAAGGGCTGTTGAACGGCGGATACCATAATCCTAGGAACATCTCTCTAATTCCGCTTCTTTCAGTGCAAGGGCATAGAGCCACTCTTCGAAGAGGTATGAAGAATGAGGAGGCTTGTATGGCTAATAGGATTCTTAGGATTACGCTCCACTGCTGCATTCGGAAAGTTAAATCCTTCCCCTACCCTCGATAGCAGCTCCCTAGTAGTGTGCCAGCGAGAGCTTTGTGCATACAGACCGATTGAATACCCTCTGGCTAAGCAACTGACAGACAGCTTGAAGGTGCTCGCTGTCCGAATGTCTGGTTTCCTGAGCAGTCTTTCGATCGGTCCACAATATATGACGTAGCGGACATACTACGCATGACCGTGGGCGAAGACAGCGCCATCCGCCGCAGACGCCTAGAGCATCTTCCTGTGCATAGAGATATTAGCCAGATCGGAATGCCGTAGCCTCCACAATCCACTGGGCCAATATTTCCCACATTCTTGCACAAGCTATCTTCATGGTCAGATTCCGGCGGACTGCAACGCCCAAAAACAGCAAAAGGCTACATCCAGTCATGTAGCGACGAAGGATGTACTGCTGCTATGGCGGTACACTGCTCGGTCTTTCCTCCAATGCATATCTTTAGGTTACCTTAAGCTGGGTTTGGGAAAGGGTCTGTATACTTCTCCGTCGATTTCCCTAGCCCATCGCTAATAGTGTCAAGACGATTCCACCAGAGACCATACATCGCTAGCGCTATCAAAGCAGTGCATACCTGCAAGCACTTCAACCATCTACACATAGAAAAGAACCGCCGCAATCCTACCGCTAGCATGCTCGACCTCCTACACATCATAATCTCGTACCACGTCCACACCGGCGTAGATAAGCACTTACCGGCCGCTCAGAACCACGCATCAATCATGCACACCAACACAAATCCCATTTTCGAGTACCGCAACAAGCCTTCCCAGCTTCAGCTACTACAGGGCGGACTTTATTGCAGCAATACGAGCCTACGGTATCTACACGGTCGAGAACTGACAAGAGGAGTGATGGCTCTGTCGGTCAGCTTGTCGAGTTGAGCATAAGACTAAGTTCTTCTCGTAGGAGAGCAGGCGCCAACGTATCAACCAGCATAATAGACAGGAAGGCTTGATTGGGCTGGCCGGCTATATAGAAGAGGATAGGCATATTGTACGTCGAGGTTTCTTAGATGGCTCTCCAGACAGTTGACTTCGTGAATGCATCTGAGTTTGGCTCTGAGACGTCTGGACATCTGTAAAATGAGTGAGATCTGCTCTGGATTAGTACCAAAATCCCCAATGAAATACCAAGGTCTCGCTGGTATGGCTGGTGTATTCTCTCTCGACTTGGGCATACTGTACAAGGTGTCAAGGACGTTCACGGTAGAAGCACAAACACAAGAAGACGCTTTAAGGAAGAGAGAATAGTATATTCCATGATAGATAACGTCGCCTTCGAAATAGCCTGTGGACAAGTCGAGGAATCGGCCCATAGGCCACCGACCCGCCATCCACTCGTCTTAGTCCTTCAGCCTTTTCAGCCCGCGAGTGTACCCCCTTCTATATCTACGTCCCATGTTCTTTGGGTGTTTTCTCCCGCTGTTTGTGCCCGTAGCTCCTGTTTGTCACCGGTTTGAGTTTCCCAAACCTCGGCACCGACGGTAGGGAGGGAGGTACAGGGAATGCGGCGGAGGTTTCTCTGTGCCAATGTAAGCATGATGTTGGATTGAATGGTTGAAACCGTGCGAGTGAAGAGAGAACGCGGCTTGATTTGAAAGAGTGTCTGGCAGCGAGCTTTATATACATGAAGAGGT